CTCAGCGTTTCTGCTTCTCTCAGGCTGGTCACCACTTACGCCAGGTGTCTAAGGAGCCACCCTCTCCTGTCATCCTTGCCTAGGGTGTTAGGTCCTGTGTCCTGAGAATATGCCCAAAGCCAGTGAATTCTTGCTGATCCAGTCTTCTATTCCAGCACCTTCGACAAACGTCCAGCCAATATCGGGGGCACGTTCGTGCCAGCTAATTCCTTGGGCTGTTTCAGTGTATAGACTCTTTCTTCCCTTGCCAGGCCTGCACTTCCCAGCCTGATGGCTATTCTAGGGTGTAAGCCCAGTATCCTGTGTGCCTGCTAGGGGAGGAAAGGGGCAGTTTCTGAGGGCACTGTGGCCTGGCCAGGGACGTGTCTGCAGCGCAGCGGTGTGCTGCCTCCTACCTGGGTGCAGACCGGCGTGTCCGGGGTCTCCACCGAAGTCTCCACCCCATGTTTGAGTGTGCCAGGTTTTTGCGGCCAGGGCCCTGACCTTAAATACCAGTCTTGGCTGTGCCGTTCAAACTTTCATGCCTTTGATTTGTGGATGTCGAGCTGTGGCCCACAGGCCAATCCTCCCCACAGCCTGCTGTGGACAGCATGCTAAGAGCTGCTTTTACATTTTCCATGGGTCTGAATACTCTCAACAGTAAAGATAAATGGAAAAGAAAGAAAACAAGAAGTGCAGAGGCTGACCACCCCGTTTGATATGTTGCCGAGTCTGCTCTGGCACTGCCGTTGATAAGGGCTTCCTTGTAAGCCATCGGGGAGGCTCCCGGGCTTTCATATGTGGTTTGCACCTGCTTGGCAATGGCCCTCAGTTCCTCCTCATTCTCCTGCAGGGCATCAGTGCCACCCACAGTCACCTCAGCTGTTTGCAGGCCGTGTTCTCCCCGTCTTTCAAATGCTTGGATCATGGCACCTGCAGAGGCATTTCTCTTCCCTGGATTTTCCCAGGCCACCTCTGGTTAAATCTTTAGCAATGAACGGCCAAAGACTGTCCCCAACACCACTCCGGACAGCATCCTTCTTGCCTGCTTGGCAGAGAGGGAACCTGTCTCAGCTCCACCTCATCACCTGTTTCCTCCGGCCACTCCGGCACCACCTGTGATACTTTGGGTGCTGAGAAGCAAACAGTGAGCATTACCTGGTCAAGAGGTTTACTGTGGAAAACTGAGGGGAACATCAGCCAGGGGAGGCCAGGAGAGCCATCAGAACACAGTACAGGTCTGATGCCTGTGAAAGAGGGAGGGAGGGAGGGGTGCCTTAGACTGAGCAGCTCTAGGAGTGGAGAATTCTCAGTCCCAACTTGCCCATCAGAGGAGTCCCCCTCCTCAAGAATGGCACTTATGTAAGTACCCCCACCACTCAGTTACTGGCTGAGAGCAGCATAGTGTGGCCTTGGCGTAGACTTGATGGCTAGAGACAGCATTTAATGATGGTTCCTGCGGTTGGGGGTCTGAGGTGGGTTTTCCTGCTGCCGCAGTTGTCATCTGGGAGAGCCGTAATGTGAGCCAGGGGTTGAATGTCCAGTCGAATATGGCCAGGGAGTTGGCTGCCCTGGATTTTCTACCTCTGAGCTCACCATGGCCTGCCTCTAGTGTTCAGGAACGGACGGAGAAGAAAGCTGCTTAGGGATAAAATGAAAACCCTCATCAGGGCCAAGCAGCAGGGCCTGGGAGAGTGAGTGGAAACATTCCCAGCCAGGTAGGTCAGTGACAGATCAGAACGGGGCCCGGCTTATCCTGGAGTTCCGTCCAGGGGTAAAGAGATGATTCGATAACAGCGGCGACTGTGCTAGTGTTGTCCTCAGCATATCTGTCTCTTAGTCAAACAGCGTTCCTACACATCTGGCATTGTGGAAGGCGGGAGAATGGAATCGATCTCTGATTTATGTCAGGTTAAATGATAGAGTTAAAGAAGTGTAGACCTGAGGTCCTTTGGGGATTATCTAGTATTGGCTACCAGCCATTACTTCAGAATAGAAACAGGTGAAGTTGGGCTGGGAGTGGGTGCTGGGAGGAATGTGTTGTACAGAGATTACTCTGAGTGTGTTGTTTTATTGTAGTTGGAAGAAAATAATAAATGGTGCTAAGGCATGATCAACAGCAGGGAAATCGACAAAAGTGATTTTTCCTCTCTTACATGAATGTACAACATTTATAAGTAAAAGTATTTCATAATTTTATATAGAACACAACCAGGACTAATACAAATTAAACTAATACAAATTTTTATTTTAAATATTTTATTGTGTAAGTAAC